ATCGGACAATGTAAGCATTGATACAACATCTGACAATGTAAGCATTGATACAACATCTGACAATGTAAGCATTGATACAACATCTGACAATGTAAGCATTGATACAACATCTGACAATGTAAGCATTGATACAACATCTGACAATGTAAGCATTGATACAACATCTGACAATGTAAGCATTGATACAACATCTGACAATGTAAGCATTGATACAACATCTGACAATGTAAGCATTGATACAACATCTGACAATGTAAGCATTGATACAACATCTGACAATGTAAGCATTGATACAACATCTGACAATGTAAGCATTGATACAACATCTGACAATGTAAGCATTGATACAACATCTGACAATGTAAGCATTGATACAACATCTGACAATGTAAGCATTGATACAACATCTGACAATGTAAGCATTGATACAACATCTGACAATGTAAGCATTGATACAACATCTGACAATGTAAGCATTGATACAACATCGGACAATGTAAGCATTGATACAACATCTGACAATGTAAGCATTGATACAACATCTGACAATGTAAGCATTGATACAACATCTGACAATGTAAGCATTGATACAACATCTGACAATGTAAGCATTGATACAACATCTGACAATGTAAGCATTGATACAACATCTGACAATGTAAGCATTGATACAACATCTGACAATGTAAGCATTGATACAACATCTGACAATGTAAGCATTGATACAACATCTGACAATGTAAGCATTGATACAACATCTGACAATGTAAGCATTGATACAACATCTGACAATGTAAGCATTGATACAACATCTGACAATGTAAGCATTGATACAACATCTGACAATGTAAGCATTGATACAACATCTGACAATGTAAGCATTGATACAACATCTGACAATGTAAGCATTGATACAACATCTGACAATGTAAGCATTGATACAACATCTGACAATGTAAGCATTGATACAACATCGGACAATGTAAGCATTGATACAACATCTGACAATGTAAGCATTGATACAACATCTGACAATGTAAGCATTGATACAACATCTGACAATGTAAGCATTGATACAACATCTGACAATGTAAGCATTGATACAACATCTGACAATGTAAGCATTGATACAACATCTGACAATGTAAGCATTGATACAACATCTGACAATGTAAGCATTGATACAACATCTGACAATGTAAGCATTGATACAACATCTGACAATGTAAGCATTGATACAACATCTGACAATGTAAGCATTGATACAACATCTGACAATGTAAGCATTGATACAACATCTGACAATGTAAGCATTGATACAACATCTGACAATGTAAGCATTGATACAACATCTGACAATGTAAGCATTGATACAACATCTGACAATGTAAGCATTGATACAACATCTGACAATGTAAGCATTGATACAACATCTGACAATGTAAGCATTGATACAACATCTGACAATGTAAGCATTGATACAACATCTGACAATGTAAGCATTGATACAACATCTGACAATGTAAGCATTGATACAACATCTGACAATGTAAGCATTGATACAACATCTGACAATGTAAGCATTGATACAACATCTGACAATGTAAGCATTGATACAACATCTGACAATGTAAGCATTGATACAACATCTGACAATGTAAGCATTGATACAACATCTGACAATGTAAGCATTGATACAACATCTGACAATGTAAGCATTGATACAACATCTGACAATGTAAGCATTGATACAACATCTGACAATGTAAGCATTGATACAACATCTGACAATGTAAGCATTGATACAACATCTGACAATGTAAGCATTGATACAACATCTGACAATGTAAGCATTGATACAACATCTGACAATGTAAGCATTGATACAACATCTGACAATGTAAGCATTGATACAACATCTGACAATGTAAGCATTGATACAACATCTGACAATGTAAGCATTGATACAACATCTGACAATGTAAGCATTGATACAACATCTGACAATGTAAGCATTGATACAACATCTGACAATGTAAGCATTGATACAACATCTGACAATGTAAGCATTGATACAACATCTGACAATGTAAGCATTGATACAACATCTGACAATGTAAGCATTGATACAACATCTGACAATGTAAGCATTGATACAACATCTGACAATGTAAGCATTGATACAACATCTGACAATGTAAGCATTGATACAACATCTGACAATGTAAGCATTGATACAACATCTGACAATGTAAGCATTGATACAACATCTGACAATGTAAGCATTGATACAACATCTGACAATGTAAGCATTCATACAACATCTGACAATGTAAGCATTCATACAACATCTGACAATGTAAGCATTGATACAACATCTGACAATGTAAGCATTGATACAACATCTGACAATGTAAGCATTCATACAACATCTGACAATGTAAGCATTGATACAACATCTGACAATGTAAGCATTGATACAACATCTGACAATGTAAGCATTGATACAACATCTGACAATGTAAGCATTGATACAACATCTGACAATGTAAGCATTGATACAACATCTGACAATGTAAGCATTGATACAACATCTGACAATGTAAGCATTGATACAACATCTGACAATGTAAGCATTGATACAACATCTGACAATGTAAGCATTCATACAACATCTGACAATGTAAGCATTCATACAACATCTGACAATGTAAGCATTGATACAACATCTGACAATGTAAGCATTGATACAACATCTGACAATGTAAGCATTGATACAACATCTGACAATGTAAGCATTGATACAACATCTGACAATGTAAGCATTCATACAACATCTGACAATGTAAGCATTGATACAACATCTGACAATGTAAGCATTGATACAACATCTGACAATGTAAGCATTGATACAACATCTGACAATGTAAGCATTGATACAACATCTGACAATGTAAGCATTCATACAACATCTGACAATGTAAGCATTGATACAACATCTGACAATGTAAGCATTGATACAACATCTGACAATGTAAGCATTGATACAACATCTGACAATGTAAGCATTGATACAACATCTGACAATGTAAGCATTGATACAACATCTGACAATGTAAGCATTGATACAACATCTGACAATGTAAGCATTCATACAACATCTGACAATGTAAGCATTGATACAACATCTGACAATGTAAGCATTGATACAACATCTGACAATGTAAGCATTGATACAACATCTGACAATGTAAGCATTCATACAACATCTGACAATGTAAGCATTCATACAACATCTGACAATGTAAGCATTGATACAACATCTGACAATGTAAGCATTGATACAACATCTGACAATGTAAGCATTGATACAACATCTGACAATGTAAGCATTCATACAACATCTGACAATGTAAGCATTCATACAACATCTGACAATGTAAGCATTGATACAACATCTGACAATGTAAGCATTGATACAACATCTGACAATGTAAGCATTGATACAACATCTGACAATGTAAGCATTGATACAACATCTGACAATGTAAGCATTGATACAACATCTGACAATGTAAGCATTGATACAACATCTGACAATGTAAGCATTGATACAACATCTGACAATGTAAGCATTGATACAACATCTGACAATGTAAGCATTCATACAACATCTGACAATGTAAGCATTCATACAACATCTGACAATGTAAGTATTTATACAACATCTGACAACGTAAGAATTGATACAACATCTGACAACAACGTAAGCATTGATACAACATCTGACAACGTAAGCATTCATACAACATCTGACAATGTAAGCATTCATACAACATCTGACAATGTAAGCATTGATACAACATCTGACAGTGTAATCATTCCTACAACATCTGACAGTGTAAGCATTGATACAACATCTGACAGTGTAAGCATTGATACAACATCTGACAACAATGAAAGCATTGATACAACATCTGACAATGGAAGCATTGATACAACATCTGACAATGTTAGTATTGATACAACATCGGACAATGTAAGCATTGATACAACATCTGACAATGTAAGCATCGATACAACATCGAACAACGTTATCATTCATACAACATCTGACAATATAAGAATTGACACAACATTTGACAATGTAAGTATTGATACAACATCTGACAATGTAAGCATTGATACAGCATCTGATAATGTTAGCATTGATACAACATCTGACAATTTAAGCATTCATACAACATCTGACAGTGTAAGCATTCATACAACATCTGACAACGTAAGCATTGATACAACATCTGACAGTGTAAGTATTTATACAACATCTGACAACGTAATCATTCATACAACATCTGAAAACATAATCATTCATACAACATCTGACAATGTAAGCATTGATACAACATCTGACAACGTAATCATTCATACAACATCTGAAAACGTAATCATTCATACAACATCTGACAATGTTATCATTCATACAACATCTGACAATATAAGTATTGATACAACATCTGACAACGTAAGCATTGATACAACCTCCGACAATGTAAGCATTGATACAACATATGACAATATCAGAATTCATACAACATCTGACAATGTAAGCATTGATAAACATCTGACAATGTAAGCATTGATACACCATTTGACAACGTAAGCATTCATACAATATCTGACAATGTTATCATTCATTCATACAACATCTGACAACGTAAGCATTGATAAACATCTGACAATGTAAGCATTGATACACCATCTGACAGTGTAAGTATTGATACAACATCTGACATTGTAAGTTTTCATACAACATCTAACAGTGTCAGGTTTCATGCAGCATCTTACAACATAAGCATTGATACAACATCTGACAACGTAATCATTCATACAACATCTGAAAACATAATCATTTATACAACATCTGACAATGTTATAATTCATACAACATCTGACAATATCAGAATCCATACAACATCTGACAACGTTAGCATTCATACCACATCTGAAAACGTAATCATTCATACAACATCTGAAAACGTAAGCATTCATACCACATCTGACAGTGTAAGCATTGATACAACATCTGACAGTGTAGGCTTTGATAAGGCATCTGACAGTGTAAGCGTTGATACAACATCTGACAACGTAAGCATTTATACAACATGTAACAGTGTCAGCTTACATGCAGCATCTTACGACATAAGCATTGATACAACATCTGACAACGTAATCATTCATACAACATCTAAAAATGTAATCGTTCATCCAACATCTGACAATGTAAGCATTCATACAACATCTGACATTGTAAGTATTGATACAACATCTGACAACGTTAGCATTGATACAAATCTGACAATGTAAGCATTCATATCAACATCTGACATCGTTAGCATTGATACAACATCTGACAACGTAATCATTCATACAACATCTAAAAATGTAATCGTTCATCCAACATCTGACAATGTAAGCATTCATACAACATCTGACATTGTAAGTATTGATACAACATCTGACAACGTTAGCATTGATACAACATCTGACAATGTAAGCATTCATATAACATCTGACAATGTAAGTATTGATACAACATCTGACAACGTTAGCATTGATACAAAATCTGACAACGTAATCATTGATACAACATCTGACAATGTTAGTATTGATACAACATCTGACAGTGTAAGCATTGATACAACATCGGACAATGTAAGCATTCATACAACATCTGACAACGTAAGCATTGATACAACATCTGACAACGTAAGCATTGATACAACATCGGACAATGTAAGCATTCATACAACATCTGACAATGTTTGTATTGATACAACATCTGACAATGTAAGCATTCATACAACATCTGACAATGTAAGTATTGATACAACATCTGACAACGTTAGCATTGATACAACATCTGATAACGTAAGCATGGATACAACATCTGACAACGTTAGCATTGATACAACATCTGACAACGTAATCATTCATGCAACGTTTAATACCTGAGCAAGACAAGGTAGCGTCTGTCCAGTTGAAGTACCCGTCACATCTAGATACGGGACAACTGCTGATAGGTTGGGTAGCTGTCAGTTGTTTGCATTTGTGTTGAACAAGGCAATAATCTCCAACGATCTTTTTGTTACCAAGAGTCTCCAAACCATCATAAGGACGCACCACAAAGGTTTCGATACCCGCGACAGCTATGGGAGACGGATCTTCCCAATTTATTGGCAAAGCTGAGAAAGATAATTTATGAGTATTTACTAACAGTGTGTTAGGAGAAGACATGTAAACATGGTGCTATATTTACATTTGCGCTGCAATCACTATTTGAACATCACCAGCAGAAATGCATTTCATTCGAGTGTGACAGCATAAACTCTCGTGACGTAACATTTGGTTTACTTATGACGTCATAGATTAATCTTGGTCAATGAGAGTCTTGTCGCTTCGCTTCAGGTATCATGGAGAATACCCCTGCGTCAAACGCTCAAATGACTACGGTTAGTTATTGGCGCCAATTTAATCCAAATAGGGCTGTTCCGCCAATGTCGTTAATAGAGAGCGAAGCTCTCCCTATAGGTAACACGTATGTAAGAAAAATAAAGATTAACTTGTCTTAACATGGCCGCCAGTCGCACGCGCTGTAGTCTCCGCCATCTTGATCTCGAAACAAGTTCTCGTTTGCCGAATCTCGAACAAACGTTACATTTTTGTAAGATTTAAAACTTATATCTAACTATAGGATACTTAAATATTTGATACTTTCCGGTTACGGTTAAAAATGTAAATTCTCTTGACATAACGTTACCGGCTACATTGCTCTAGTTCTGAATGGTCGAAAAAATATTGTATCGGCAGTGTAGTCTCGTTCAATCAGACGCTTGCGAAGACAACAAGAGTCTGGTTGAACGAGACTATCACGCAGAGTTACGGTCCTTGAACTCTGGGTAGAGATTGCAGTGGTATATATTTAGAAAACGGAATATTAACAAAACAACTTGCTGGTTGTCAACAAAAAGGGAGTTTATCACAGAGACGCAAAATGATAGGATAAAAAAACATACAAGTAATTTCATAAGAATTTTTTAATTGATATTTTGGACGAAAAAAATAGAAGAAAAAAATTGAATCCATATCCTCCGGTTACCGGTTTCCGCGCACTTAAGAAGCATTCGCGATTTCGTACTCATATCGGCAGAAAACTGTTGAAATTACGGATGACTGTCATAAACATGTATACAATCTACTAATAGAAACAAAAAACTAGCAACAGAAAACTGTATTTAAAAAAATCAGAACAAACAATTTTTAACAAATTTCTCCCGTCGGAAGTAGCCGTCATATGTTTCCGTTTGTCTATTTTGATTTAGTGTTCAAAGAAAGATAACTCGAATACACTAAAAAGAACTTCTCTACAGTGACCTGCAAGAACAAAAGCTGCGTTTGGAATACAAAAAATATCTTTGATCGTCAAATTAATTATCAAAATAAGTTTTTTTAAATTTCACATTTTTAATTGATTTTTCAAGATGTCAAATTGAACGAAATCATGCTTTTTTTTAAAATTATTTATTATATTTATTTAGTTATGATATAGAGTTTGTTATTATTTTTTTCTGCAGTTTTATATCGGTTTTGGTTGATGGTAAGTTATTTCTCATTTTGTTCTGTTTAAAATTAGTGAAAATTGGAAGTTCATTGCATTACATGGTTTACGTTTCATTAAAAACACTGTTTATCGATATAAGATGTCTCCTTGGCTCTTCGGAAGTGGAAAAAAGTCGGAGAGGAGATGTGGCCATATTTGCATACAACATTTTCTTACGTTTGTCAGACTACAAAAAAGACCGGTTCATGAATGATATATATCATTGTTTTT